GGAGTTTCTAATAGTTCTCCCTTTGCTCTTGATTCTTCTAAGTACTAATTGTCCTTTCATGCCACTACAAAGATGAAGGCTATAGCCTCGTCATCGGGTGTGGTCCCTCCCCAGCGTCAACCTGATGAGACGACTCCTCGGCCATCAAATGTTCTCTCCTCACGTGTCCATTGGAGATTGAGGGTGTACTCCCCTCCTAGATGTCTTGAAGGACAGATCCTTGATGTCGAGGAAGAGGAAGAGGAGGAGGTCGGGGTGTACCAGGCAAACTAGAGTGTCCATCCTAGGGACATGTTGGACATTGAGGGTGTGGCCAAGCAACTTGCCCAAGCCATGCTATAAGCCGAAATCTAAAAGGAGACTATGTGTCATAAAAGTAGGGGTATCCATTAGCCTAACAATTCACGAGCTACTCAAGCTCGGCTCAACTTGGTTTTAATCGAGACAAACTCGAGTCTAATAAAGCTCGGCTCGTGAAGCTCGCGAGCCGACTCAAATAGTTATGTTCATACATACATACATACATACATATAATAATAATAATAATAATAATAATAATAATAATAATAATAATAATAATAATAATAATAATAATAATAATAATAATAATAATAATAATAATAATAATAATAATAATAATAATAATAATATAATTATTATTATAAAAATAACATATATAATAAAAAAATTACATATATAATATTTTTACTTGTATATATAATAATAACTAATTATTATAATTCTTAATTTTTTAAATATCAAATAAAAAATATTATATAATATTTTTTTATTTTTATAAAACATTTTTCACAAGTCGAGATCGAGTCGAGCCGAGCTCGAGCTCAATGCTCTAGCTCAAACCAAGCCTCAAGCTCGAGCTCAAGCCTAGTACTACCTTGGCGAGCCGAGCTCGAATAACTAGCTATTCGGCTCAGCTCGACTCGAATCCACCCCTACGTACAAGCTGGGCAATGGAGAGCTCAACCATCCATGATACTATGGTGGTAAGTCCAATCCCTCTATGTACTTAATTCTTCTAACTTCAATAGGTCAGGCTGACATCTTCTTTTCTTTGTAGGTCGTTTGCACGGTTAGCAGCTAGGTCAATCATATATGTGGTCTCTAGAGATTCGCCAGGTAGAGAGGTAGAGAATGTCATGCTGAAGGCCAAGCTAGTTGAGTCTAAAAAGGTTGTGGAGACCTAGGAGGACGACTTGAGAAACTGAAGAATCCTCTTCACGAGGCGAAGAAGGCGATAGGGGGGCTGAGGCGAGGGTTGCTTGGACAAAGCAAGATGTTATGGCTGAGTTGAAGGTGTCTAACGACTTCAAGACCGAGCTAGACAACTATGACATCGACTCCTAGCAAAAGGGTTTTGTGCACTATAAGAGGAAAGCCATGCGCCTGTTCCTTAGCCAACTCTACTCTGGCGCTTGGCCAGGGGAGTCACCATGGGTCATCGGCCTTGTAGGTGTCATGCGGATACCATGGGTTGGTGTTTGACTATCATTCTCTTGCTATAGGTGGCAGGGACGTCATTCTCACCTTGCCTAGCTTAGGCTAGGCTAAGTGCTATGCCTCATCCTTTGGTGGTCGGCTAGGTCCTGGCATGTTGTGTTTTGTGTGTGTTTATATAGTGCTGCAGTTTCTCATTTTCTTATGTAGAGATGGCTTTATTGCTTCAATCAAATAATTACAAAGGGTTCGATTGGCATTCAGCTCGACACCGCTCACTAATAATACATTTTTAGATTGCTTGAATTCCAACTCCTTAGTATAGGGTTTCCATTGAGGTCTTTTAGCTTGTAGGAACTTGGTCCCAACACTTTGCTCGCTCTAGATGGTCTTTACGAATTTGGTTTGAGCTTCCCTACATCAAGATCTGGTACAATAACCTTGTGGAGGATGAGTTCTCTTGACTTGAAGTGTCTATAGTGGACTGGAGGTCAGAGTACTTGGTCATTCTCTATTGATATGCCTCCATTATGGTTTGGGTTCAGTCTTTGGTTTCTTCAATGAGATCTAGTACAGTATGGAGGTCCTCATTGTAGAACTCTATTTGGAGAGTGGGGGATCCAATTTCTGCTAGGAACACTACTTCTACACCGAATGCCAGGCTGAATAAGATCTCTCCAGTCATTGTCCTTGTCAATGATCAACACTCGGGGAACTCCAAAGCGACATATGATGGTTCTCCATAAGAAGCCTTAGGCATTCTGGGTTGTAATGTGTGGCAAGGGTTCAACTTAGACACACTTTGTGAAGTAGTCAAAGGCCCTGAAAAGGAATTTCTTTTATTCAACCGTGGGAGGGAAAGCATCGGAGATGTTTGTGCCCTATTGAACAAAGGCTAAGGACTAGTTACCAGTGTTTAGGGGACTTCTACCTAATGGAGTAGGTTAGAATGCCTTTGATAGTGGTTGCACTTTGTATGAGCTACGTGGCATCTTTCTTCATGGTCCGCCATAAGTACCTTTTCCAAAGAGCTTTGTAAGATAGGGTTCAAGCATCGGGATGGTCACCGCAAATTTCTTTGTGTATTTCCCAGAGTACATGCTCAGCTTCTTTGAGGGAGACACTTCAGATAGGGTGTATGAGATTTGCGGTAGAGGTGCCTCTTGATTATGCAGTACTAAGCTGCTCTGAGATGAATTGACAAGGTGTCAACTTAAACAATCCCTCCTAAGTTGGTCTGAGATGAGCTAGCAAGCTTAGACGAGGCATCGACTCAGAAGTTCTCGGCCCATGGTATTTGCTATATGAAGAAATGCTCGAATAGGGTGATGAGATCTTGGATCTTCTTCAGGTAGCTGGCTATGCTAGGCTCCCAAGAATCGAATCTACCACTCACTTAATTCACTAATAGATAGGAGTCAATAATAGAGATGGTAATTTGACATGTCCACATGGGGCAAACTACCTCAGTTGGGGTGGGTTTGGTGAAACCCAAAACTCTAGGGATCAGGGACGGGGTGGGGATAGTATTTATCCACCCGACCCTTACCCCAACCCCAAACCCACCTCGACTATATTATATAACATAATATATATATATATATATAACTATTAATGCATGTTAATATATGTTATATTATATTGTTCTATATTATATTACATAATATAAAATAGTTCTAAGTAGGTTTAAAAAATATAAATTTGTAAGTGTTTCCCACTTACCCGAGTAAGTGCATTTACTTGGGTAAGTAGCTTACCTAAAAGTGAACGGGGCTTTAATGTGACCTAAAAATAAAAAAAAAATGTTTTAAAAAAAATAGTCTTAGTCTAGTTGAACATTCAAACAAAAGGACACTAGAAACCTAACACACACCATCCAGCTTTTCCCTCAACTCAGTGAGATCATATCGGCACCCCACAAGCGCCCCACATGCATAATTCAACTTGCATTGGAAACATCTTCCATACCAGTCATAGGGAGATGTTCCCAATACACCGTTAGGATGCTCTGTGGTGCACTCGTAGGGCGTGATCCATGGGCCGCCACTTTTCTCCCTACTCCCTATCTCATTTTACCATTAGGCAGTGGACATAAGTATTTTGTACCAAAAAAAATATACAGATAAGTGTATTGACATCAATTCCAATCTGACACCTATCCAACTGTATGGTAGAGTTAAGAATTCTGTGGGTGGACTGAACAGTAATTTCCCAAAAAAAAATACCATTATTTGTATATATTACCAATCCTAACCCTCTTTGCCCTGTTGTTCCCTCAGATTACGATGTGGTGTTCCTCTCCGAAACTCATTTCACCTGCAACAAATGCAACTGAGCCCACAATCCTACCAGTTACGTCTTTTCATCGGTAATCAACCAATGGGGGAAATATTTGGTGATTCTTTAATACTATCGGTGTCAAATATGAGAGGAACAGGCAAAGGGAGAAGAAGATAGGTTGGAGTTCTGGTGAGCTCTTTTAGAGAAGAAAAGGAAGAATAGCGCTCTTTTAGTTCTAATGGAGCAACTGCAAGTTTGATTAGTGGCAGTGGCACATGCAAAATGAACTTATCCTCACATAGAGAGTGCATGTTAAGGGACATATATGTCACTGTCCTATGTGAGTGGGGAGCAATGTGGGGAACACGAGTGGGTAGCAGATGTAGAGCCCAAAAGTTGATTGTCTAGTTTCAATAAGTGCTTATTTAAAAACAGGAAGCAATATGAAAGTTTCTTCCTTTTATTATATCCTCTTCATCATGATTTCTAAATTTTGAAATATGGATTTTCATTAAGCCATAATATATATAAAACTATTAATATATGTTAATATATGTTATATTATATTACATAATATAAAATAATTTTAAGTAGGTTTCAAAAAAATAAATTTGTAAATGTTTTCCACTTACCCGAGTAAGTGCATTTTCCTTCATCCCCTCTCTACAGAAACGCTGGCTTCTAAAACATTACTTCTCGCTGCCAACAATTTGCCAAATTGCTTCACCTCCATTTCAAGCAAACTATAAATCGTAGGTTTAATTATTAAATTCCCGTTTGGGATGGATGAAACCCAGCGGTTTATAGCTTTTCAACATAGACCCCGTGCGATTACTCGATTTAATTGTCCGGTTAGGATGGGCATGGGCTCTCCACACCTTAGATTGGACTCAAACTTTGGAAAATGGAGATTCACCCCTTTTCTTTCTGGAGGTTGGCTGCATAGGGAATTAACTTTTGAAAATTGAATTAATAATTTGTTAGGGCAGAATTTTAACCAAATAAGGCCTAAGAAACAATGGTTCAAAGCAAGCAAAATCTATGACGAAGCAAGGTGCCAACCTGTTTGTTTGAAAAATTTCTTGCTGATCGTAGTGGAGACTTGGGATTAAATCCCACCTACACCTGTATTGAGGGATGGGCATCACAGTTGAGTCTTGAATGCTGTTATAAAGTCTTTAATGTTATATACATTTATTTTGGTATTCGATGCCATGCATCGTTGATAACTTCTCCATTGAACTCTTTTTCTCCAAAATACTAATACAAGCCCATTTATAACTTATTTCTATTAATCCTGGAGAACAATACCGTCAAGTCCTTCAATTACCTTTCCTCCATAGGTAACGTAATCAGTTGGATCTGGGACACTTTCATTTAATTTTTCATATTCTATGGAGCATATCACTGAGCTCTTGGGATGCTTTGGGATGATCTGATAGATGATTTTGAAGACTTTGTAAAGCTTCAAGAGGTCTCCTTCATGGCCTCCAAATATGACAAAATATTTTTCTTCGTCAGTTGTTCCATCTACGGTCAACAAAGCACCAAAATCAGTCAAAAGAAATCTGGAAGATCTAAAACTTTCTGATTCAGTCTTTGTTAAATAGTAAATAACCATAAACAAACCCAACAAGTCAGAAAGAAAGGAAATAACAGTTCAGCCGCAGATGTGTGTATATTACCTAAAGCATAATTAAAGTGTARGAGGGAGCCAACATTCTTTCCATCTCCTTCGAGTAACGTCGATCGGTGAGAATCATGACCTACGGCCTTGTGAAAGTGGCTTGGAARGTCCATAAAACGGTGAAAGAACTTCTTTGGAGAGGACTGGATCTCCTTCTCAATCTGGACTGTACCAGTGAAAGAACTTCATTATTTTTCATCTTTTATGAATAAAAGACGAAGTTTTATTCATAATAACAAATTAATAATGTAAAAATTCAGGAACCATGGAAAATTAGGATTTAATGAGCATAACCATAGAACCATGGAAAATTAATTCAGTGCAGAGTTTTTTTTTTTTTTCCTTTTATTTTGTACATGAAACTTCTGTATTAAATTCTTCAATCCCCATAATAATGGGGGACCAACAACCATGTTCCAAATAGTAAACGTATTCCCCATCAAAGGTGTGATTTCAATGCAAGAGTGTATGTGACCATAATTAACTTGCATGCAGTCAATATCATTCATAATCATTATCATCATCTAAGCCATGTACTAATTAATCAAATGGGCTCTGCTACTTCACCATAATTAGTTAGTTTTTGTTCCATCATTAAAATTTGTCACGATCACTTAAAATCAATTTTCGGTCATCCTTCATTCAATTCACATGACACCTTTCGGAGCTGCATGTAATAATAAATTTGTTATTGCTTCAGGAATCAGCCTTTCTATTTTATCATCACCCATGCCTTTGCCTTAACTCAATTATATGGGGTCAGCAGCTACTTACATTAGTCTCCTTTTATCTCATGTCCACTGTTAATTAATTAACATAATTATAGTATTATATATGAAAAACTAGTGTTGAGTTCTTTTGCACTATTCTTCATTATGCTTTAGGGAATTGAAATCATATCGTCGATCGATGGGTTTTGGATTTAATCTTGCTAGGTTTAGATTGAAGCTGTGGGTCCTTTGATGGGTTGGTATACAGCAATTCATAATTAAACATCTTCAACATTTTTTTTTGGGTAGAGAGGAAAGGGTAGCACTCCGCCAAGCGTCGCTCCCCCAAGCAATTCATAAACATCATAGAATTATGTTTGTATTTGCCCAAAATTTTGCCAAAACACATAAGGTTCATGGGATGAGTGTGGAACTCCTGTACACAAGAAATCTGCCCACGTCTACTGATGTAATATCGCATACACATCGAAAACATTTCACCCTCTTACATAGTATTATTTATGGGGAGATCTTCCCAATGCACGGTAGTAATATGTTGTGGGTAAACGTGGGTAGAGTATTTGTCAGTAGGAGATACGGTCTCATGCAATGCCCATGCCYTGTCAACATTGATGGTATTGGATTTTAATCTCATTAGAGATTAAATCCAATGGGTTTGATTGGTCAATTACATGAGAAATTGCACCTGCATACTTGCTTTAGAAAACAACTTTTCTCTTACTAAAACCAATTTTGAACTTGTCGCACATTGGATATTTACAAGTTTTCCTTAGAAATAGTGGAGGAGAGTATGGAGGTTTGATACCGTGCAACACGTGTGTGCGGCACAATGAGGCGCTTTAGAGGCGCACTTTTCTAAYACTTCGCGCGCACCCACGTGGCTCGTGAAGGGCGGYTTTGGTTTTGGTGCGATGCTGACCGTTGATCACCATTGATCTCGATTAAGTATGATCAAGAGGCACAATTCAAAGTTAACAGTCATTAACTTTGACTATTGTATCCTGTGAACGGATTTGCCTATAATCCAATAACAAACTCAGTAAAAACTAAGTGGGGGCAAATAACATTCTAAAGACAATATCTTCAAACGCACCTCAAAACTTCCCCTCCAATTTTCAATGACCCCATTTACCAAGAGATCAAAACAATAGCCAATACTTTTATTATATCCATTAATATTAAAACATAAGCCTCTACTACTTGAAACATGGTTGTCCCTCATTGACAGTGGTGGATTCAAAAATTTAATACATCCATCAAACTTAGAAGAATTAATATACCAAGCAAGGAAGATTGTGAGACAATGATTACCTTGCAGTTAGTATCCATCATCAATCATCATCATTAATTATCACCATCTATATATGGGATCTGTTATTTGAATCGAGTTGTTTGCCATATTTGATTTTGATCCACCATTAAATTATGTTATGAGCACATAAAATCACTTCTTGATCCACCATATTTATTCAACTTTTAACTTGAGACATTACATCTCATCCAGAATAATAGACTGAATACAACTTAGTACCATCATAGGAATGCATGAATAATGATAACGTGCATTTTTTCATATTGTTTTTCCAAAATTCTCTAGTGTCTAGGACAGGCGTTACAAGTATTAAGTATAGAAAACATGATTCTCTGCAATATCAAGTATTAAGTATAGTTTCTTAGTAATCTGTAATCCTACTATTCCTGGAATACTAGGAATGAGTTCTTCTACATCTTTTCTTT